ACCCAAAGCATACAAGTAATTCAACAAAACAATGGCTGCAACAGCACAGAATACGCCTTCTGGAGTGGCCCTGTCAGAGTCCTGACCTCAACCCGATTGAAATGCTGTGGCATGACCTTAAGAGAGCGATTCACACCAGACATCCCAAGAATATTGCTACACTGAAACAGTTTTGTAAAGAGGAGTGGTCCAAAATTACTCCAGATCGTTGTCTAGGTCTGATCTGCAACTACAGGAAACGTTTGGTTGAGGTTATTGCTGCCAAAGGAGGGTCAACCAGTTATTAAGTCCAAAGGTTCACATACTTTTTCCTCCCTGCACTGTGAATGTTTACATGTTATGTGCAATTAAACCATGGCAACATCTAATGTTTGTGTAGTATTATGTTCAGCAGACTGTGTTCTTCTATTGTTGTGACTTAGATGACATTCAGAGCACATTTTATGCCCAATTCATGTAAAACTCCACGTAATCCCAAGGGGTTCACATACTTTTTCTTGCAACTGTAAATCCTGTATAATAATAATAATGTTCTTTTTTTTCTAGTTTCAGGCTAGGTTCACACCTAAGCATTTTGCGGCACATTTTGCAGAAACACACTACAGTCTATGTAACCTGATTTCCTATGGGTGAAGTTCACATCTCCACTTTTTCAACCGGTGCGATTTTTGGAAAGGTTCAGGGACTTCTTTAACCTCCCTGGCGGTATGATTCTTTCCAATTTGTTGTGCTGAAAGCGGTACCATTTTTTTGCATGGAAATATGTAGTTTTTTATTGTAGACTGTAATTTTTAGGAATAACTCACTGAAATCTGTCCGAACAAGAGTCTAGTAAACATCCCGGGTATGATAAAACTTGAAACACGAAATCATAAATTATAATTTATTAAATAATCATAAAAAATAATAATATAATAATAATAAATTTAATTCAATAATATAATCAAACCAAAAACACTGAAATTTGAAATACAGAGGCAAATTCGCACATCGCTGAGCAAAGTCGCAAAATCGTTTTCAGTGTCTGATGGCGAATTTTCCCCACGAATCATTATCACTCAATTCTGCAAGTGGTTCTGATTTACTATCGCTGTTCTCTAGCCGGTCTAAAACCGCTTTTGACGTAAAGGGACGCTTTTTGGACGCCATGGACTTTTCTAAGTTTCCAGGCAGAAAGAACATTCAAAATGCAGGCAGGGGACAGGACAAAGCACTCGGGACAAAATGTATGTGAAATGCATTGAAACAGCAATGACAGCAAAAATGACATTTTTTAAAAATTTCAAATTTCCCGCCGACGTCACAGGGACCGGAACACAGAAGCCGGATGCCAGCATCAGCCGGAGGAGATGGCCGGGGACGCTGCAGGGGACACATCGTGGGAGCGAAGGACAAGGTAAGTGCTGCAGGAACCCCCAGAGCAGCGCCGCATGGTAAGCCCGAGTGTAGCTCGGGGTTACCGCTTTTGGTATAGAAATTTTACCCCGAGCTACACTCAGGAATACCGTTAAGGAGGTTAAATGCAACACAGTGCATTTTGGTTCAATAGACTTCAATGGAGACTCTATGTAGTGCATTTTTACGTGTTTTGTGTACCTTTTTGGGTTTTAATCAGTCCAGTAACAAGTTGGGCAGAAAAAAAAAAACACAAAAAGGTAAAATGCATCATGCCTGGTTCACATCTGTGCGGGTTGTGCGGCTGCGGATCCGCACGAAAATCCGTGCAGCCACGCCACCTGCACAGAGAAATGCGGACCTGCGGGCAGGTGCCATTACTTCCAATGGCACGCCGCCCGCACTGGAAAACACAACCGTACTGGGAACCGAGGTTCTCGTGCGGGCTGCGTTTTCAGAAGAAGTGCAGGGACTTCTCTGCGTGTCCCGGGGTACGGGAATCCATTCAAATGAATGGGCTCTCGTGCCCGCGCAAAACACGGTCTGCACGACCGTATATATGTGAACTGGGGGGGCAAAGAACGCGTCAAAAAGGTGTGTGCAAAAAGGCAAAGCGCACCGCAGAAACGGATCAAATGCAAACCCCATAGGTGTGAACATAGCCTTAGATGGACTGGGAAGGGGGACAACCTCTGTCAGGTTTTTTTTATTGCTACTAGAAGAAGAAGAATAGGTATGAGAGCCACACTCAAAACCAATATTTATTCCACTAAAATTCTACAAAAAACATAATCCACTTCCAGACCAGGACTTTTCTGGCACTTTTTGTAACAATCGAGAGAGGAAGGGATATAATACACAAAGTGCCTGACGAATACAAGGGGGGGAAAAGTCCTCTTTTTTTGGTGGGACTTTAACAGCACAATTTACTTGCATGATAAATTTCAACAAATCAAAAGAGGTTTTTTCTAAAATCAGTATGAAATTTTATTTTTACAATCTTCAAAAATAAAGATAAAGCTACAATACACTTTTAAGTGCGAACCGCGCATGATCCATGATTAGATTTGCAATACCATCTCTGATGACACCACCGCAATATGTATTGTAGCTTTATATTTATTTTTGAAGATTGTAAAAATAAAATTTCATACTGTTTTTATAAAAAATCTCTTGAATTGTTGAAATTTATTATACAAGTAAATTGTGCCGTTAAAGTCCCACCAAAAAAGAGGACTCCCACCCCCTTTTGTAACAATCAGTATTTTTTGCTAGAAAATTTCTTAGAACCCCCAAACAATATATTAAAAAAAAAAAAAACAGAGGCCCTAGAGAATAAATTGGTGGGTTTTGCAATTTTTTTTTTGTCACACGGTATTTGTGTTTTTTTTTTAATAAAATTTTTTTAGAAAAATATACACTTTAATGAATTTTATTGCACACAAACACAATATAATACCCAATTTTTTGATAAAATATAAAAGATGGTGTCACGTTGAGAAAATAGTTACCTAAAACATCACACTTTAAAACTGCGCATGCTCACAGAATGGCACCAAACGACGGTATTTCAAAATCTCCATAGGTGAGACTTTACAAGCCTTTACAGGTTTCCAGAGGAGAGTTACAGAGAGTTATTTTTAAAATATTTTTCCCAAATATATTGCCATATACCATATTTTTTGCTCCATAAGACACACCTGACTATAAGACGCACCTAGGTTTTAGAGGCGAAAAACAAGAAAAAAAAATATTCTGAACCAATGGACTGCGGACACAGTACAGGAGATGACCAGAGACTGCAGACACAGTACAGGAGATGACCAGAGACTGCGGACACAGTACAGGAGATGACCAGAGACTGCGGACACAGTACAGGAGATGACCAGAGACTGCGGACACAGTACAGGAGATGACCAGAGACTGCGGACACAGTACAGGAGATGACCAGAGACTGCGGACACAGTACAGGAGATGACCAGAGACTGCGGACACAGTACAGGAGATGACCAGAGACTGCGGACACAGTACAGGAGATGACCAGAGACTGCGGACACATTACAGGAGATGACCAGAGACTGCGGACACAGTACAGGAGATGACCAGAGACTGCGGACACAGTACAGGAGATGACCAGAGACTGCGGACACAGTACAGGAGATGACCAGAGACTGCAGACGTAGTACAGGAGATGACCAGAGACTGCGGACACAGTACAGGAGATGACCAGAGACTGCGGACACAGTACAGGAGATGACCAGAGACTGCGGACACAGTACAGGAGATGACCAGAGACTGCGGACACAGTACAGGAGATGACCAGAGACTGCGGACACAGTACAAGAGATGACCAGAGACTGCGGACACAGTACAGGAGATGACCAGAGACTGCGGACACAGTACAGGAGATGACCAGAGACTGCGGACCCAGTACAGGAGATGACCAGAGACTGCAGACACAGTACAGGAGATGACCAGAGACTGCGGACACAGTACAGGAGATGACCAGAGACTGCAGACATACTACAGGAGATCACCAGAGACTGCGGACATAGTACAGGAGATGACCAGAGACTGCGGACACAGTACAGGAGATGACTAGGGACTGCGGACATAGTACAGGAGATGACCAGAGACTGCGGACACAGTACAGGAGATGACCAGAGACTGCGGACACAGTACAGGAGATGACCAGAGACTGCGGACACAGTACAGGAGATGACCAGAGACTGCGGACACAGTACAGGAGATGACCAGAGACTGCGGACACAGTACAGGAGATGACCAGAGACTGCAGACGTAGTACAGGAGATGACCAGAGACTGCGGACACAGTACAGGAGATGACCAGAGACTGCGGACACAGTACAGGAGATGACCAGAGACTGCGGACATAGTACAGGAGATGACCAGAGACTGCGGACACAGTACAGGAGATGACCAGAGACTGCGGACCCAGTACAGGAGATGACCAGAGACTGCGGACACAGTACAGGAGATGACCAGAGACTGCGGACACAGTACAGGAGATGACCAGAGACTGCGGACACAGTACAGGAGATGACCAGAGACTGCGGACCCAGTACAGGAGATGACCAGAGACTGCGGACCCAGTACAGGAGATGACCAGAGACTGCAGACACAGTACAGGAGATGACCAGAGACTGCGGACACAGTACAGGAGATGACCAGAGACTGCAGACATACTACAGGAGATCACCAGAGACTGCGGACATAGTACAGGAGATGACCAGAGACTGCGGACACAGTACAGGGGATGACCAGGGACTGCGGACATAGTACAGGAGATGACCAGAGACTGCGGACACAGTACAGGAGATGACCAGAGACTGCGGACACAGTACAGGAGATGACCAGAGACTGCGGACACAGTACAGGAGATGACCAGAGACTGCGGACATAGTACAGGAGATGACCAGAGACTGCGGACACAGTACAGGAGATGACCAGAGACTGCGGACACAGTACAGGAGATGACCAGAGACTGCGGACACAGTACAGGAGATGACCAGAGACTGCGGACACAGTACAGGAGATGACCAGAGACTGCGGACAGTACAGGAGATGACCAGAGACTGCAGACAGTACAGGAGATGGCCAGAGACTGCAGACAGTACAGGAGATGACCAGAGACTGCGGACAGTACAGGAGATGACCAGAGACTGCAGACAGTACAGGAGATGGCCAGAGACTGTGGACATAGTACAGGAGATGGCCAGAGACTGCGGACACAGTACAGGAGATGGCCAGAGACTGTGGACATAGTACAGGGAATGACCAGAGATTACGGACATAGTACAGGAAAAATACCAGGGACACAGTACAGATGGCCAGAGACTGCAGACAGTGCAGGGAATGACCAGAGAATGCAGACAGTAAAGGAGATGACCAGAGACTGCGGACCTTTGGGGAGGGAGGGGGAACGGGTACCTGAATTTGACAGGTACCCGCTCCCACTTTCGCGGAGTTGTCCTTCCCTCTTCTTCCCGCGGTGGCTTCTGTGACAGCCGGGTGCCCACTGCGCATGCGCGAGAGAAGCGCTGCGCTTTGTGAATGGCCCGGCGCCTTCTGGGACCTGTCATGTGTCCCAGAAGACACCGGACCATTCACAAAGCGAAGCGAATGCACAGTGGGCACCCGGGTGTCACAGAAGCCAGCGCGGGAAGACTGTGCAGCGCTGGAGCGAGGAACTGGTAAGGCCCTGCAAGAGAGAACAGCTGAGCGGCCGGCCCGGTATTCTGACATGGTGGCGGCAGAAATACCAGACCGGCTGCATTATATACGCTCCATAAGACGCACTAACATTTTCCACCCTTTTTTTGGGGGAAAATAGTGCGTCTTATGGAGCAAAAAATATGGTATTTGAAATACTACAATTTTGGCCATATTCAATATATTTCAATAAATATATATATACTGCATGTTGATATGCGTTTTTATTACAAAATATGTGAAAAATATTTTTTAAAATACATTTCAAGTATACTGTTTGTCTTTAAAAAATACAAATCTACATTTTTGGAATGCATTTACAAATATATGTGAAAATATACGCTAAAATTACTTTTTTATATGTTAAAAAAAATTTTGAAGATATATATTTAAAAAAATGCATTATTGTGTCTCTTATACCTGCCTGAGTTCAAAATAAAGTACTTTTACAATCCACCTCGCCTCCATGGATAGGATTTCTGGACGGATTCTGTAGCTTTTTATTGTTTTTGGCAGCTTGAGTGTCAGGAATGAAGGGAATGGGAAGCTTTATATATTATTATTGTTATTGTTGTTGATGTCATTGTTGTATAGTTGAGGATCCAGGTACTGTAGTGGGGTCCACTGATCCCGTACCTGGCAGGCCATCTGCCTGAAATACAAAACAAATGTATGGCACGGAGCGGAGTTCCCGTTCCATCCCCGATTGTTTTCGCTCAGAAGGAGGAATCCAAATGTTAATTTGGCCCCTTCCTGAAGTGAAGTTTTCAATTGTCTATAATTACTTTTATTAAGCCCTGTGTCAGGACAAATGTTCCTGTTAGTCTTGGCTACTGTCTCAGGACTGGAGGAAAGTCAAGGGGCCGTAAAAGTGAACCTGTCATGTCCGGGTTACAAAAGACGGTCGTGTATTTTCGAACTAAGCAGACATGTCAGCCTGTTTTTTTTTTTTTTCCCCTTCTGAGAAGAGATCAGTCCTTTTTACTCCTTCCAAATGTTAAAATATTATTTCAATGTGGATCCAAGTTATTCTGTAGCTGTTGTATGTGAAGGCAATATTTTTATTTTTTTTGGGAGGGATAAAATAGTGAGAGATTAGACCAGGCATTGACAATTCTCCGCCACATACCTAGGTGGACACGCCGCTTTTCACTGGTACTGCCCGCTATTGGCTGGAATTGGCAGCTCTCTGTCAATCACAAAGCCTGGCCCACACATCTTCCTGGCATCACTGAAAGCCCACCAGCGGCAGAAGTGCGTATTGTGTGGAAGAAGCCCACCTGAATGTGTACAGCGGTACCCTGCATTCCTAAAGGTAGAAAGTTTAAAGTTGATGTAAGATCTGAAGTGTTTGCATTCGGGCTGATCTGAGTTCTGAGTGTATGCATTGGGGCCGATCTGAGGTCTGAGTGTATGCATTGGGGCCGATCTGAGGTCTGAGTGTATGCATTGGGGCCGATCTGAGGTCTGAGTGTATGCATTGGGGCTGATCTGAGTTCTGAGTGTATGTATTGGGGCTGATCTGAGTTCTGAGTGCATGCGTTGGGGCTGATCTGAGTTCTGAGTGTATGCATTGGGGCCGATCTGAGGTCTGAATGTATGCATTGGGGCCAATCTGAGGTCTGAGTGTATGTATTGGGGCTGATCTGAGTTCTGAGTGTATGCGTTGGGGCTGATCTGAGTTCTGAGTGTATGCATTGGGCTGATCTGAGTTCTGAGTGCATGCGTTGGGGCTGATCTGAGTTCTGAGTGCATGCATTGGGGCTGATCTGAGTTCTGAGTGCATGCATTGGGGCTGATCTGAGGTCTGAGTGCATGCGTTGGGGCTGATCTGAGGTCTGAGTGCATGCGTTGGGGCTGATCTGAGGTCTGAGTGTATGCATTGGGGCTGATCTGAGTTCTGAGTGTATGCATTAGGGCAGGGGCAGACTGACCATTTGGAAACTCAGGCACTGCCCGAGGGCCCAGGGTCAGTAGGGGCCCCAATGAGATGCCCCTGGTACCTTTTTTGCATAGGCTTTTTTGAGTTTGGGCAAGGACACAGGGGCCCCATGATCCCCTATTGCCCGGGGGGCCCATTAGTTGTCAGTCCGCCCCTGCATTGGGGCCGATCTGAGTTCTGAGTGTATGCATTGGGGCCGATCTGAGTTCTGAGTGTATGCATTGGGGCTGATCTGAGTTCTGAGTGTATGTATTGGGGCTGATCTGAGGTCTGAGTGTATGCATTGGGGCCGATCTGAGTTCTGAGTGTATGCATTGGAGCCGATCTGAGTTCTGAGTGTATGTATTGGGGCCGATCTGAGGTCTGAGTGTATGCATTGGGATTGATCTGAGTTCCGAGTGTATGCATTGGGATTGATCTGAGTTCTGAGTGTATGTATTGGTGCTGATCTGAGTTCTGAGTGTTTGCATTGGGGCTGATCTGAGGTCTGAGTGTATGCATTGGGGCTGATCTGAGGTCTGAGTGTATGCATTGGGGCCGATCTGAGGTCTGAGTGTATACATTGGGGCCGATCTGAGTTCTGAGTGTATGCATCGGGGCCGAACTGAGGTCTGAGTGTATGCATTGGGGCCGATCTGAGTTCTGAGTGTATGCATTGGAGCCGATCTGAGTTCTGAGTGCATGCGTTGGGGCTGATCTGAGTTCTGAGCGCATGCATTGGGGCTGATCTGAGGTCTGAGTGCATGCGTTGGGGCTGATCTGAGTTCTGAGTGTATGCATTGGGGCTGATCTGAGTTCTGAGTGTATGCATTAGGGCAGGGGCAGACTGACCATTTGGAAACTCAGGCACTGCCCGAGGGCCCAGGGTCAGTAGGGGCCCCAATGAGATGCCCCTGGTACCTTTTTGCATAGGCTTTTTTGAGTTTGGGCGAGGACACAGGGGCCCCATGATCCCCTATTGCCCGGGGGGCCCTATTAGTTGTCAGTCCGCCCCTGCATTGGGGCCGATCTGAGTTCTGAGTGTATGCATTGGGGCCGATCTGAGTTCTGAGTGTATGTATTGGGCCGATCTGAGGTCTGAGTGTATGCATTGGGGCCGATCTGAGTTCTGAGTGTATGTATTGGGGCCGATCTGAGTTCTGAGTGTATGCATTGGGGCCGATCTGAGGTCTGAGTGTATGCATTGGGGCCGATCTGAGTTCTGAGTGTATGTATTGGGGCCGATCTGAGCTCTGAGTGTATGCATTGGGGCCGATCTGAGTTCTGAGTGTATGCATTGGGGCTGATCTGAGTTTTGAGTGTATGCATTGGGGCAGATCTGAGTTCTGAGTGTATGTATTGGGGCCGATCTGAGTTCTGAGTGTATGTATTGGGGCCGATCTGAGCTCTGAGTGTATGCATTGGGGCCGATCTGAGTTCTGAGTGTATGCATTGGGGCCGATCTGAGTTTTGAGTGTATGCATTGGGGCCGATCTGAGGTCTGAGTGTATGCATTGGGGCCGATCTGAGGTCTGAGTGTATGCATTGGGGCCGATCTGAGTTCTGAGTGTATGTATTTGGGGCCGATCTGAGGTCTGAGTGTATGCATTGGGGCCGATCTGAGGTCTGAGTGTATGCATTGGGGCCGATCTGAGGTCTGAGTGTATGCATTGGGGCTGATCTGAGTTCTGAGTGTATGTATTGGGGCCGATCTGAGTTCTGAGTGTATGCATTGGGGCCGATCTGAGTTCTGAGTGTATGCATTGGGGCCGATCTGAGTTCTGAGTGTATGTATTGGGGCTGATCTGAGTTTTGAGTGTATGCATTGGGGCAGATCTGAGTTCTGAGTGTATGTATTTGGGCTGATCTGAGTTCTGAGTGTATGTATTGGGGCCGATCTGAGCTCTGAGTGTATGCATTGGGGCCGATCTGAGTTCTGAGTGTATGCATTGGGGCCGATCTGAGGTCTGAGTGTATGCATTGGGGCCGATCTGAGGTCTGAGTGTATGCATTGGGGCCGATCTGAGGTCTGAGTGTATGCATTGGGGCCGATCTGAGGTCTGAGTGTATGCATTGGGGCCGATCTGAGTTTTGAGTGTATGCATTGGGGTTGATCTGAGTTCTGAGTGTATGTATTGGGGCTGATATGAGGTCTGAGTGTATGCATTGGGGCCGATCTGAGTTCTGAGTGTATGCATTGGGGCCGATCTGAGTTCTGAGTGTATGTATTGGGATTTGGCATGATCAGTCATATTTTCACTATCAATGCCACATTTTCATGATTTCTGCCAGGGGATGCAAACTTTTGAGCACAACCGTGCTTACCTATTTTTAGCCCGCTGGTCAAGTGATTCTGCAGCTTCGATTCTCCTGTGTTAGCGAGTTGCGGCTGCAGGGGGGAAAGGAGGAAGCACTGACAACAGCTGGGACATGGGGGCCTATGAGTGATGTCATGGCCCCCAGAATTCCCAGCCACTGTGAAGTGCTCCTTTGTTTCCCCTGCAGCCACCGCTCACTGACACGGGGGGATCATGTGACCAGGGCGGACTAAAAATAGGAAAGTATAGAAATTATTTTTTTTTACACAGGTTAGGTAGAAAGGGGATCAAGAGGGAGGAAGGCACGTTTTTAGGAGTAATTAGAGTTGGGCTGGAATTCTACTCTAAAGCTAAACGAACATTTACTCTTAAAAGAAATAAAACTAAAGTCCTCAACTACAATGTCAGGGCTCCCAGGTATGACCAGAGATGTGTGACTGATGCAGGGAAACGCAGACTTCAGAAATGTGATAAACAATATAATTTATTAACACTAACCATACAAACATAAAACGCAGTGCAATACTAAACATAATACAGTGCAAACAAACCAAAACAACCACCCACAGATAACAGTACATACAAGCAAGCGTCGTCAGGCAGGCCGGGTCAATATCAATTGGGCAGGTAGGTACGGGGGGAGCAAGCAGAGAATGGTCGGGGTCACAGGCCAGGTTCAGCAGGTAGCAAGCAGCGAGGTACAGAGGGTCAGACAGAGGGGTGGTCAGGGTCACAAGCCAGGATCAGAGCAGGAGAAGTCAGCAGCAGTTCAGATCAGGGTCAGCGAAGGAACAGAAACAGGATGCAGGACAGATACAGGGCCCAGGACAAACACACACCAAGGCAGAGTCTGCAAGTCTGGCCATCCCTTAAATACCCCAGTATCATCAGTTCCAGGTGTTAGCTGGCTGAAAGGTTGAGTCTCTGATTGCTGGGAGCACCCGCTGGCCAGCCCTGGTACTGCAGATCAAAAGGCAGGTGAGTCCCACCATTGCTGGCCAGTCCATTCCCTAACAGTACCCCCCCCTCAAGGAGCGGCCTCAGGACGCTCCAAACAGTCCTAGCTGGGCAAAATGTTCCACCGCCCGGGTCTGGCAACTGGCGGGATAGCAAAGACTGGCAACACCGGGCAGGACTCCGGGCAGCGGCACACCGGGCTGGACTCCGGGCAGCGGCACATCGAGCAGAGGCACTCCGGGCAGAAGCACACCCGGGCAGAGGCACATCGGGCAGGACTCCGGGCAGAGGCACATCGGGCAGAGGCACATCGGGCAGGACTCTGGGCAGAGGCACATCGGGCAGAGGCACATCGGGCAGAGGCACATCGGGCAGAGGCACATCGGGCAGAGGCACATCGGGCAGAGGCACATTGGGCAGGACTCCGGGCAGAGGCACATCGGGCAGGATTCCGGGCAGAGGCACATCGGCAGGACTCCGGGCAGAGGCACATCGGATTACCAGGCGAAGCAGCAGGCACCGGGCCCCCGCAGCAGGCGGAGGGCAGCAGGCACCGGGCCCCCGGGCGGAGCAGCAGGCACCGGGCCCCCCCGGGCGAGCAGCAGCAGGCACCGGGCCCCCGGGCGGAGCAGCAGGCACCGGGCCCCCGGGCGGAGCAGCAGGCACCGGGCCCCCGGGCGGGGCAGCAGGCACCGGGCCCCCGGGCGGGGCAGCAGGCACCGGGCCCCCGGGGGCGGGGCAGCAGGCACCGGGCCCCCGGGCGGAGCAGCAGGCACCGGGCCCCCGGGCGGAGCAGCAGCAGGCACCGGGCCCCCGGGCGGGGCGACGGGCACCGTGCCCCAGGCGGGGGCGACGGGCATCGTGCCCTCAGGCGGGGCGACGGGCATCGTGCCCCCAGGCGGGGCGACGGGCATCGTGCCCCCAGGCGGGGCGACGGGCGCCGGACCCCCAGGCGGAGTGGCGGGCGCCGGACCCCCAGGCGGAGCGACAGGTCTCGGGCCCTCAGGCGGAGCGGCGGGCGCCGGACCCCCAGGCGGAGCGACAGGTCTCGGGCCCTCAGGCGGAGCGGCGGGCGCCGGACCCCCAGGCGGAGCGACAGGTCTCGGGCCCTCAGGCGGAAGCGGCGGGCGCCGGACCCCCAGGAGGAGCGACAGGTCTCGGGGCCCTCAGGCGGAGCGGCGGGCGCCGGACCCCCAGGTGGAGCGACAGGTCTCGGGCCCTCAGGCGGAGCGGCGGGCGCCGGACCCCCAGGCGGAGCGACAGGTCTCGGGCCCATAGGCGGAGCGGCGGGCGCCGACCCCCAGATGGAGCGACAGGTCTCGGGCCCTCAGGCGGAGCGGGCGGGCGCCGGACCCCCAGGAGGAGCGACAGGTCTCGGGCCCTCAGGCGGAGCGGCGGGCGCCGGACCCCCAGGTGGAGCGACAGGTCTCGGGCCCTCAGGCGGAGCGGCGGGCGCCGGACCCCCAGGTGGAGCGACAGGTCTCGGGCCCTCAGGCGGAGCGGCGGGCGCCGGACCCCCAGGTGGAGCGACAGGTCTCGGGCCCTCAGGCGGAGCGGCGGGCGCCGGACCCCCAGGTGGAGCGACAGGTCTCGGGCCCTCAGGCGGAGCGGCGGGCGCCGGACCCCCAGGTGGAGCGACAGGTCTCGGACCCTCAGGCGAAGCGACAGGTCTCAGGCCCCCAGGCGGGGCGGCGGGCGCCGGATCCCCAGGCGGAGCGGCGGGCGCTGGACCCCCAAGCGGAGCAACAGGTCTCGGGCCCCCAGGCGGAGCGGCGGGCACCGAGTCACCAGGCACGACAGTGGGCTCCGAGTCAACTGGTATGACCGCAGGCACTGGGTCAGACATTGTATGGTCTGGCTGGACAGCGCGGGCATCGGGTCACCAGGCATCAGGTCATTTGGCTCGACAGCGGGCACCGCGTCATCTGGCAAGGCAGTGGGCTCCGAGTCAACTGGTATGACCGCGGGCACTGGGTCAGACATTGGATCGTCTGACCGGACAGCGGGCATCGGGTCACCAGGCATCAGGTCATTTGGCTCGACCGCGGGCACCGCGTCATCTGGCAAGGCAGTGGGCTCCGAGTCAACTGGTATGACCGCAGGCACTGGGTCAGACATTGTATGGTCTGGCTGGACAGTGGGCATCGGGTCACCAGGCATCAGGTCATTTGGCTCGACAGCGGGCACCGCGTCATCTGGCAAGGCAGTGGGCTCCAAGTCAACTGGTATGACCGCGGGCACTGGGTCAGACATTGGATCGTCTGACTGGACAGCGGGCACTGGGTCACCAGGCATCAGGTCATTTGGCTCGACAGCGGGCACCGCGTCATCCGGCAAGGCAGTGGGCTCCGAGTCTACTGGTATGACCGCGGGCACTGGGTCAGACATTGGATCGTCTGACTGGACAGCGGGCACTGGGTCACCAGGCATCAGGTCATTTGGCTCGACAGCGGGCACCCGCGTCATCTGGCAAGGCAGTGGGCACCGGGTCACCAGGCATTGGATCGTCTGGCTCGACAGCGGGCATCGGGTCACCAGGTATGACAGCGGGCACTGGGTCACCAGGCATCAGGTCATTTGGCTTGCCAGCGGGCACCGCGTCATCTGGCAAGGCAGTGGGCACCGGGGTCACCAGGTATGACAGCGGGCTCTGAGTCAATTGGCACGACAGCGGGCACTGGATCAGGTACCGGATCATCTGGATCAACAGCGGGCATCGAGTCAACTGGCCTAATAGGATCGTCGGGCTGGATCAGTTCATCATGCTGAGTAGCGGCATCAGGCTGAAGAGAGGCATCCGGCTGAAGAGAGGCATCCGGCTGAAGAGAGGCATCCGGCTGAAGAGAGGCATCCGGCTGAAGAGAGGCATCCGGCTGAAGAGAGGCATCCGGCTGAAGAGAGGCATCCGGCTGAAGAGAGGCATCCGGCTGAAGAGAGGCATCCGGCTGAAGAGAGGCATCAGGCCGAGTACAGGCTTCAGGCTGAGTAGAGACATCAGGCTGAGTAGAGGCTTCCGGCTGAGTAGAGGCTTCAGGCTGAGTAGAGGCTTCAGGCTGAGTAGAGGCTTCAGGCTGAGTAGAGGCTTCAGGCTGAGTCACGGAAGGCAGGCTCACCGGTTTGGATACTGGCAGGATGGTATTGGTTGGAAAGAATTTTCGCTTTTTTCTGGTTTTAACTACTGGAGCACTGCAAGTAAACGCAGGTCTGCAAACGAATGGAGCAGCTGGAGACAGAGAAAAACTGGCAGGGATGGAACAGGAGAGGGAGCAGTTGCTACAGAGGGCTCTTTTACAGGGTTAAAGGCAGGATAGGTGCAGCGAGTGGGAACAGGGTACTGACATGCGGTAGATAGCAGGGCAGGAGGAGCTGGTGGGAATACAGGAGTAGAGTTAGAAGCAGGACTGGGTCTTTGTAAGCTGACTGAGGCTGGGTGCAACAAGTCTGTCCATGTCTGCAGTATGGGTTGAACAAAGCTGAGCTTACACAAAGCCTGTCTGGTCAATGACTGCACTGCGTTTATACAATCTCTCAGTGTCTGTGGTGAACATGTGGAATAACGCTCCAGAAAGTAACCCACATCATCCTCTAATAACCACACCAGGGACTCTACCTGGTCTGCACTAAATGGTGGCAAAAATTCATCCCTGCATTCGGGGGAACCAGATGAAACCAACTCTGCACAAACCTCAATCAATGGCTGCACCTCAGAGAACTCTGTGCCCTGATCTACTAGAACATGAGCGAGCCGCATACATTCTAGCAATTCATCCCGGGTATACTCCTTCAGAGTTTGATAAGCATACTCTCTGTCATCAAACACTAGCAGATATAAATACTCAACCTCATCCAGATCCATCCTTCCCATCAACAAGCCAAGATGGCTTCCCTGTGCAGCCACTTCTGGTCAGGATTGGCCTTGGTGTAATGTCAGGGCTCCCAGGTATGACCAGAGATGTGTGACTGATGCAGGGAAACGCAGACTTCAGAAATGTGATAAACAATATAATTTATTAACACTAACCATACAAACATAAACGCAGGGCAATACTAAACATACTACAGTGCAAACAAACCAAACCAACCACCCACAGATAACAGTACATACAAGCAAGCGTCGTCAGGCAGGCCGGGTCAATATCAATTGGGCAGGTAGGTACGGGGGGAGCAAGCAGAGAATGGTCGGGGTCACAGGCCAGGTTCAGCAGGTAGCAAGCAGCGAGGTACAGAGGGTCAGACAGAGGGGTGGTCAGGGTCACAAGCCAGGATCAGAGCAGGAGAAGTCAGCAGCAGTTCAGATCAGGGTCAGCGAAGGAACAGAAACAGGATGCAGGACAGATACAGGGCCCAGGACAACACACACCAAGGCAGAGTCTGCAAGTCTGGCCATCCCTTAAATACCCCAGTATCATCAGTTCCAGGTGTTAGCTGGCTGAAAGGTTGAGTCTCTGATTGCTGGGAGCACCCGCTGGCCAGCCCTGGTACTGCAGATCAAAAGGCAGGTGAGTCCCACCATTGCTGGCCAGTCCATTCCTAACATACTGTATGTACAAAGTGGTCAGTGGCAAAACAGTTTCAATAGTAGAATTCTACTTTAGGCATACATGTTACAATCTTACTGTACAATCAACCTTAGATTTACAAATACTATATAATAAAGAGAACCTGCCTAAAATAGCCACTCAATCTGTATCCATTCAGGCTGGCACTTGCACTTAATACTTATTGGTAACAGTGGCATCACTATGGGGGGCGCGGACTGAACCCAGGTGACACCCCCTTGAGGGCTGATACCTTTCCAGTGTTCAGAAGACCAGGATCCCTGGCTGGGATAAGCCGTCATGTCTCCGCAGTCTATCCCCCATTCATCCCTATAGGGGGAGCCGGAAAGAGGGCAGCACCCATGAAGAGTGACTTGAGGTCAGCTCATTGTGTGAAGAGAGGATGGGATGAAGATTTCTGCAGTTTGTGTGCTGGACATCAGAGAGAGATGGAGATAGCAAGTCATGGTGTGTCCTGTATACTTCCACCAGAGGGAGATAGCAATCTGCCCGATCCCCCTCTGACGTCACTAAGATATGGGGCATGCCAAACCACCTCTACTGCACCCATACATACTGACATGGTACATTCCATCCATCACCCCTCTACATAGTGACACGGTACAATCCATTCATAGCCCCCTATATACTGACATGGTAAATTATATCCATCACCCCCCACATATTAAGATGGTACAATCCATTAGTCACCCCCCCCCCCCCCACACACACACATGCTTACATAGTATATTTATTTCATCAACCACCCCACATCATACTCACATGGTACATTCAATTCATCACCCCGCCTACATAGTGACATGGCACAATCCATTCATAGCCCCTATATACTGACATGGTACATTCTATCCATCACCCCCCACATACTAACATGGTACAATCCATTGATCAGTCCCCAACACACACACACTTGCTTACATGGTATATATATTTCATCAACCACCCCGCAACATACTCACATGGTACATTCCATCCATCACCCCCCTACATATAGTGATATGATACAATCCATTCATAGCCCCCTATATACTGACACGGTACATTCTATCCATCACCCCCCACATACTAACATGGTACAATCTATTAATCAACCCCCCCCCCCCATGCTTACATAGTGTATTTATTTCATCAACCACCCCGCAACATACTCACATGGTACATTTCCATTCATCACCCCGCCTACATAGTGACATGGCACAATCCATTCATAGCCCCTATATACTGACATGGTACATTCTATCCATCACCTCCCACATACTAACATGGTACAATCCATTAATCACCCCCCCCCCACATGCTTACATAGTATATTTGTCATCAACCACCCGCAACATACTCACATGGTACATTCCATTCATCACCCCGCCTACATAGTGACATGGCACAATCCATTCATAGCCCCTATATACATGGTACATTCTATCCATCACCCCCCACATACTAACATGGTACAATCCATTGATCACTCCCCCACACACACACATGCTTACATAGTATATTTATTTCATCAACCACCCCCGCAACATACTCACATGGTACATTCCATCCATCAACCCCCCATACACACACATGTACTAGCATGATACATTCCATTCATTCAACCTCCCCGGGGGATGACACCATGTTTTCCCGCACCAGGTGGCACCAACCCTAGTGATGCTACTGTTGGTAGATCTAAGGAGCTTGAACCAACGGATTGTAATGTGTGTGCTGAATTTTAGGTCTGTTGCGGTTGCTTCTTCCATCGATAGATTCAGGCCTATTACGCCTTGATAAGAAAATCTGGTGTTGCAGCCAAAACTACCTAAAAAGCCTTCTATGAGTAGAAAGTTGGAATGAATCAGATTGGGGTGCTGCTGTTGCGTTTAAGCCAAGCTAAATGTAAAAGTTAAACAGTTCATTACACATCCGAAATATGTGATGCCAGAATACGGTGTCGCTGACACTGCCCATAAACCCGTACTGTTTCCTAACACCCCATACAGCTTAAAGGCGTCTCCAAAACATAGAAATGAAACTATTGATGTTTTTCCACGTTACCTTCAAAGTCCCATTGAAAGAACCCTCTCCCCGTTGCACTGTATTTTTTTTTTTTTACATTTTTTTTGCTATGTTAAAATGTAAGTTCACCTTTAAGGAAGATTTTCAGAACCCCCTTCCCCATGCAATCCTATATCCAGTGAATTGTACATACTGAAGATCTTCCTGTTGGAAATGGTGAAGGTCCTTCCATACCTGATGAAGCTGTTGTGGGACCTTTCCAGCTAAGCTGGAG